TTCAAATTAACGATAGATTCTTGTACTTTAATTTAGTATTTAATTAATATGTCTTGTTCTTCATCTACTTCTCTATTTTCTGTTCAAGCATGAGTAGCTAAACCCATTAGCTAGGGTTGTGGCTCAACCCTAGTGTGGGTAATTAATGGGTGTTGCCATCTAGGGTTAGATTGACTATGGGTGTTTGCTATTTGGGTTGATTTTATGTTTAAATCTGTAAATTGGTGGTTGCAAACACTGATTTGTGCTTTGTGGATTTGACTCTTCTTGAGAAAGAGAGTCTAAGTCTCCAAAATTGACCCAACAAGGAAATGGGATAGACTCATGAGAAATGATAGTCCCAATTAACGGGTTAAACCTCGAGAGAGTAATCACCCTACTTGAACCTTAGTTGCTTGATCTAATTTGCCTACCCATTTGGTCTCGAGAGAGTCAAGTGGTCAAAATCACTCTCTCTACCGAGAGGTGTGAGAGTGGGTAAAATTGTGCAACGGTTATAGCATAAGCCCCAATTATGTCAATCGAACCTTAGTAACATCTACCCGTCAATTAGCCACCTAGGTGATGTCACGAACCTAGTGCCCTTCTTCCCATTAGATACAACCTTAGCAATTATTTCGTAGCACAATCTAGTTTCAACTAGTAGTTTGATAATAGTAGTTTATAATTGAAAAAACCCAAAATTGTTGGAAGTGACATTTAGAACAATTACACGACTCTAGTCTAGATAGATACCCAGCTCCAATTTCTAGCTCTCTGAGGAATTCGATCCCGACCCTCATATCGGGTAAAAGCTATTGCGACCCTCTTTTCCTACTTTATAGTAGTGTGGAGTTGGCAACGATCAACAAGATGGTCACTTTCTTTTAGGTACCCAAGCTTGCCTGGGTACTGGTGGGTAGTGTTACTAGGTTCAGAATTTTTTGGTTTCCAAACCCATCCTGACACATTTGATTTACGAAAGTGACAACCGGAATATTTATGTCCAATTTTATTACAGTAATGACATTTAGCTCCAGACCTGTTTATAGGTCTTTCATAAGTATTAGAACTAGCCGACTTAGATTTAGCTGGTTCTTTCCCAGTTGACTTGTAAGTCATCTGGTCCGACCGACTAGTCGACTTGGTTCTGATTGGTTCCTTTCCAATTGACTTGTAAATCGTCTGGTTTGACCTAACAGAACTATGACTGGTGGATTTGCGCAAGCTGTTAAGCTGCATTTGCAACTCCTCAAACTCTTCTTGAAGTACCTCTTTTTCGATTTCACATACTTCATGTTTGAGTTTCCAGTCTTTAACCTCCTTAGTGAGTCTCTTAAGTTCATTCATCATTTTTTGAGACTCTTTTAAGGTTAAATCAATAATATCCTGCAATTCATTACATCTTTCGCAGTCATAAGATCTTTCACTCACTAGTTTCACCCCGTGCCATGAAATAGTTCTCGTCATCTGAATCATCTTCATCTGTCCAGCATCCTGAGGTTTTGTTTATTTCATTTTCCAGAATTGTCATGAAAGAAAGATTTGCTATTTCTTCGTGGTCTGAATCGTCCTCATCGCTCCAGCTTCCGAAGGATTTGTTCTTGTTGAAGCCTCTAGAGATCTTCCTTTTCAGTTCTGGGCATTCAGCTTGAATGTGCCCAAATTTTCCACATTCGTAGCATTTTCCATCGTTCTTATCCTGTTCATAGTATTGCCTGGATCGTCTTGGTGGGAATCTTCCTTTCTTTGTATTTCTGTATCTCCTCATCAACCCATCCATATTTCTAGACATCATAGCAATCTTTTCTTGTAGAGCTTCAGGATCATCAATTTCATTTTCAGCCATTTCAGTAGAGGTTTTGAATGCAACTATTTTCTTTTTCTCCTCTTGATTTGTCTTTTTCAAATGCGTCCTTTCGAAAGCAATGAGTTCTCCTCGCAGTTCATCATAGGATAATTTGTTTAGGTCTTGAGATTCAGAGTGACTACTTTGGTCTGCCAAGTGGTTGGCAGACTTCTGAGAATTTTTCTGACTTGATCACCACTGGTGTAGGGCTTGCCAAATGCCTTTAAGTCACTAATTATCTTACTAAACCTGGCAAACATTTCTTCAATGGATTCTTCTTCTTTCATTGAGAAGAGTTCGTAGTCATGAATTAGCATGTTGATGTGAGTTTCCTTTACTTTGCTGGTTCCCTCATAGGTGACCTCAAGTTTATCCCACATCTCTTTGGCTGTATCACAACTCGATATTTTCTCGTATTCCTCACCACTTATAGCATTGTGAAGCAGATTTCATGCCTTGTTATTCACTTTTACCGCTTCCAGTTGCTCCTTTGAGTATGAATCTATATCATCAGGATCAGCAAGTGGTGGAGTGCTAGCAGGTAGGGGATAGTTTTTCTTTTTAATGACTCTCCAGACTTTGACATCGTATGCTTTAGCAAAGATTTCCATTCGTACTTTCCAGTGAGAGAAATGTTGTCCATTGAAGTATGGTGGTCTAACTTGTGAAGTTCCTTCCTGAAAGAGAGCTCCTATGATAACTTGATTTGCCATGATCTTTTCTCACAAGCTGTTAAGCAAAAGGTAAAATGTGAGCCAAGCTCTGATACCAATTGAAAGTACAAGAGGGGGGGGGGGGTGAATTGTAAATACTTCAAATTAATTGCTTATAAGTTGACTTATAACTTGAGTAGTCGGCTGAATATGATAATTTAGCAGATATGGTAACGGAAAGTAAAATACAGAAAATAATTGCAGGAATTAAAAACACCGGGATTTTTATACTGGTTCGGATTCAATGTGAATCCTAATCCAGCCCTCTTTGGTTACAAGGGAGTTTTCTTCAGTAAATGAGTTTCTTCCGAGTACAGATGTGGTGTATATCGCTCAGTTTCTCTAGCACTCATTTTTGATACAATGCCTCACCAGTTGTGTGCTCTCTTTCTATCCCTGACTTGTTACACAGCAGATCTTAGTGAACTACAATGCTTGTTTGTAGTAGAATAAAGAGAGTGATTTGGTTCGATCAAAGTATATCTAAGCTAGGGTTTAGAAGGGTGTATAAATACTTTGATGGATGGTAGAGGCTTGACAACCCAAGAGATTTGATCCTTGGAAAGAATTGATTCTTTCCAAGAATAAGGAATGAGCCGTTGCTTCTCTTGATTGCTTTCCTTTAGCAGAGGATTGCTTCACTTGATTTCTCCTTGATTGTTGGATCTTCCAAATGTGGTCGCTTCCCAGATCTCCTCGTATCCTTTAGTCTTCCGTGATTCTGCCCATGATTCGTGCCTTTGTCCAAGGCTTATTTGATTTTTTCCAGCTCAGCTAATCATTGTTATTGCTGATTGATTCGTTGATTAGATTGCGCCCAGATTTACGAGACCAATCCAGATTTGCTGATCACATGCTGATTGATTTCTTTTCTTGTACATCATGAACCATTCTAGCAGTCTTCTTTACTTTTTGAACTTGATTTCCTGCACATGTATATTATTTGCATCATTAAAACATGATCTAACAAGGAAAAGACAAGGTAACAACGCGACCACACTAAATCGGTCATTACATAAAGTGGAACATTTCGTCGTTACGTAACGACGGATTTAACTATACGATATAATAAAATTTAAGTAACAATTAAACCAAATATCGTATTTAAAGTAACAATAATACGATACAATACAATATGTAACAACTAGCTGTAAATCGTGTCACGAAAATCATTTAGAAAGAGTCTTAAAAAATAAATAAAGAAAAACTAAATGACATCGCACCTAGATTGATAAAAATAAAAAATAAAAAAACGAATTGCTAAATGCTAGTCAAACAAGCAAACAAACTAGCCAGCAACTATGATAATGATATGATCATAACATCAACCTAATAAGTTAGCAGAAAAATAAAGGTAATAATAGCCCAACGATGTCTACAAAAGACAGTATACGGATTCCAAATCTTTACTTTCTCTCTTAGTAAAATGACAGATAGAGGGAGAAATAACTACAGTATAATTTAAGTTTTTGATCATTCACTGCGTTTTCGATATATTTTGGATTTAACTCAAAAAAGTTAAATGTATTCTAAAATTAATTAAATTAACCATAAAGTCAATTTACAACTTGTTTGGATGGTTGTTACTTATCGTATTGTTACTTTAAATACAATATTAATTTGTTTTGATTATTATTTGAATTTTATTGTATCGTATTATTAAATCCGTCTTTACGGACGAAAAGTGTCACTTTATGTAACGATAACGATCAATTTGGTATGGTCGCATTATTACTTTATCTTTTTCTCTCATCTTGCTCTTTATTATTATTAAATAGTCCTATATTTATCCTTTGCACTACATTTCTATATAATACGTCTACCTTGTATCATACTTTTTTTTGATAAATTATATTGCAAGTTTATTCTTCATATTGCTGGTGCATGACATTATAAAATGACGACAAACGAATAAAATCTATTCAAACATTGTATTTATCAAACGGCACAATATAATATAATACCATACAATATAATACATTATGAAACGATATGTAGCGACCATCCAAACAAGCCGAAGAACACCTAATATTATTCTCCAACCAAAAGTACTCCATGTTTTTTCTCTTGGAACATATAAGAATATTATATGGTACTATTAATAACCAAACAGAAAAAATATTACTTATACTCCAACCAAAATATATTTTTTCTCTTGGAGTAGAGGATAATACTACTACTAGTATATGGTATAGTATTTTTCATGTTAGAGGAAAGATTCAAACACTAAAGACAAAAAGCTCACTTCAATGTGCTTTACAAACATCGATAATTCCAAAAAGTCATCTCCCTTTTCACATATCTCCCCCACCTCCATTACCACGCCCTTTCCTTCCTCACCACTCATTTTTTCTACTGCCATTTTCTTACATTCTTGCCATGTTCTTGTTCTGACAACAAACTCCATAGCTAACTTCTTCATTTCTCTTTGTCAGCTGAGTGATCATGCTCCAGTCTACAATTCCCTGTATCTGCTTCTAATTCATCTTCTTCTATGTCTTCTAAACGCTCCATTGCTGATTTTACACCTGTTCTCTCCGATGAAGATGCTCTTCATCTTAGTAAACGACCTCGCAGCAATGAAGAAGAGCAATTTGAAGAAGGCGAAGACCAACTCCCTGTCGATACTGACTCAGTTGGTCTTCGCCTTCTCGGATTACTACTCCAGTGCGCTGAGTGTGTCGCTATGGAGAATCTCGACGATGCAGGTAATTTATTACCCGAAATCGCCGAGCTTTCCTCCCCGTTCGGCTCTTCAGCCGAACGAGTCGCTGCTTACTTCGCCGAAGCTCTTTCGGCGAGAATCATCAGCTCACACCTCCGTTTTTACTCTCCGCTCAACCTCAAAACCCTAACCCTAACACACTCCCAAAAGCTCTTCACCGCTCTTCAATCTTATAATACGATAAGTCCTCTCATCAAATTCTCTCACTACACCGCAAATCAAGCTATATACCAAGCATTGGAGAGCGAAGATCACGTCCACGTCATCGATCTCGATATCATGCAAGGACTTCAATGGCCAGGATTGTTCCAAATTCTCTCCTCTCGATCAAGGAAACTCCGGTCCGTTAAGATCACCGGCGTCGGATCCTCTATGGAGTTGCTGGAATCCACCGGTCGGAGACTCACGGAGTTCGCTAACTCGTTCGGATTGCCGTTTGAGTTTAAACCGCTGGAGGGCAAAATTGGAAATATAACGGACCTGAGTCAACTCGGGGTGAAAATGGGCGAGACTATAGTAGTCAATTGGATGCACCATTGCCTTTACGATATAACCGGGAGTGATTTAGGGACGTTCAGATTATTAACTTTGTTACGACCCAAATTGATCACGATCGTTGAACAGGACCTAAGTCACGGGGGGAATTTTTTGGGCCGATTCGTTGAGGCGTTGCATTATTATTCGGCTTTGTTTGATTCATTAGGGGACGGATTGAGTGTGGAGAGTGTAGAAAGGCATACGGTGGAGCAGCAATTGTTTGGTTGTGAGATTAGGAATATTGTAGCTGTAGGTGGGCCCAAGAGGACAGGGGAGGTACCAGTAGAGAGGTGGGGTGATGAGTTGAAACGGATCGGGTTTTTACCCGTTTCGTTATCGGGTACTCCAGCTGCTCAAGCTAGTTTGTTGCTAGGAATGTTTCCAAAAGGGTATACTTTGGTAGAAGAAAATGGGTGTCTGAAAATGGGATGGAAAGATTTGTCTTTGTTGACTGCTTCTGCATGGCAACCGTGTGATTAAGTTGCTTTTTTGACGTTCAATTTGAACCGTTGGATCATGTGGTAATGGCATTGTGCTATAGAATTTTGGACATTCGAATAAGTGAATTGCTCTTGTTTACTTTGGTCCTAATTCTGAGAAGACCATACTTGTATTTGTCATTCTTGAAAATTATTCTTTTAAGAAATAATTGCAATAGATCTGAGAAATTTTTCCTTCTTTTGGATATATCTGACTCTCATTTTCCATTAGGGGTCGTTGCTGGGTTACAAGGTAAGTACTTATGTTCTGTTGCTTTTTTCCATTAGGGGTATAAGTGACACATAGTTAAGTTATACAATAAATTTATACATTATTTATGCAAGATAGAATGTGAAATAAGTAATATATGTATTAGTAATACATGGATTAAACAATCAAATAATCAAAAAATTTCATATATTACTAATCCCTTTATAAAAATAAATTATGAATATAAAAACTCTGCATAACTAATTCCTATCTAAGTAAAACTTTCGTAACACTAACCAGCAACCAAACGATCCCTTAGTCAATTACTTATGTGGAAGATTAGCACTTGCCATTTCGGGATTTAATTAAAGCAAATGACACACAAAGCTGCAACTTTCCGGACTTCAGCAAGAATAAAAGCTCGACCAAAAGCTGGAATCTGGAAATCTTCAACAATCGATGCTTTCTTAAATAAACAAATTCATGACCAAAACTAAATACAACCGTGATTACTACATTAATCAATTGAGTTGAGGGAAATATGAAAACCAGTTTCCCAACAAACTTCCAGCACCAACTATCAAGTAAGACACCAACAATAAAGATCCAACTGCTTTTCAAAAATCACAAAGGGGGAAAAACAAACGTACCCCAAAAGAACAAAAAGAATAACCCATTCTTAAAACAAGACCAAAACTCCAATACCTTGATACTAATATCTTTTACCAAGAATTATTCCCACGATCACTGAAACAAGAGCAACACCCAAAACAAATTTCAGAGTCATGGCAGAAGATCCTTCAATATGCTGAACTTGTTGTTCACTGGAGGATGGTTGAGTTGAAGAGACTTCAGTCTTCTTCTTGCTCTTTCGCTTTGTTGGAATAGAGAGCATTTCTCCAATATCCCTAGATTTGACCTCTACATTATCCTGCAATTTCAATTAAAAACAATTGCAAATCATTGATCTTTCGAGCTATTTCATGATCACTATGTTCACATTATTAAATAATTTACATTGCTCTCGTCCATTATAATTTTACGCCACCATTCATTTAAAAGACTCAAGATATAGGATTATGAGATGTCCATGTTCATTTAGTTACTTATATATGCCATCTTTCTTAATTCTTCAATAGGTCAAGCATGTGGAAGTATCTAGTGGTAATAATAGACTCAGCAGAAAACAGGAGGCTGAGATTAAAGGTGTGAAAATGATAGAATTAAAAAATGCAGATTCCATTCAAGATACCCCATCCCCAGCAAATATGATTCAAGAAAAAAAGACTGACCTTCTGCTTCAATGTAGCATCAGCCTGCTGCAATTTCTCCTCAAGTTCCTTAACTTGGTTTTGTAGAAGTAGGAGTTCTTTGCTTTTGGCTTGCAGCTCCTCTGATGAAATCTTCAGAGTTGCCTCCTGCTCTAAGCCCTTACTGGACATAGCCTCTTTCTGTATTGTTGGACATTTTAAATGTGAATTAGTAACCAAGCTATAAAATGTAGATGTTTAATTTTCATGCCATATTAGAAGAGAGGAGAAATATTTCTGCTATGACAACCTAATATTTGAGAAGTACTACAGAATTGGTTATAATTTAGTTAATAGTAGTACTATTAAGGAAGGTTACTTGGTTGTGTATTGAACTGTCTAAAAGTTACAATACCTCTTTTTCCACTTGAGCCTCAGCACTAGCTAACTGCTCTTCGAGCTCTTTGATCCGGCTTTGCAGTTCAGACTTGTGATGAATCTCAGCCTGGAAAACTTCTAATTGACTTTTCAGAGAATGTTCACTTGACTTGAGTTCTTTCAACTGTTCTTCAAGATGTGCAATGACATTTTGCAGCTCCTTCTTGGAGGTTTGATGTGTTTCATTGAGCAAGTTGTTTTCCTCCAAAATGGATGATAACTGTAAAAAGTGAATTTTTTAAGAATAGTAAGTTGTCAAATGTAAGTACATGCACCCGCAATAATTGAAGCATAGTATGAATAATACCGTTTCAAAGTGTAGCAAGGACTAACCTGAAGTTGTAGCTTCTGGCCTTCAGAAGTAAGCTGCTCTTTTAGGTTGTCTATAACCTGCTTAGAGGATGTAAGCTCTTCAACTGCTTCATTCTTCTCGGCAAATGCAGCTGACACTTTGGCTTCTAAATCATTGAGTTTAGACTCATTTGAGGCCACGTTTCCCTTTAGCTCTGAGTTCTCTTGAGTTAATCCTTCTCTCTCCTTTTCAAGTTCAGTACACTTCCCTTTCAGCTCTTCAACGATGCTTTCAAGATCACTCAAATTCTTGCAGCTCTGCTCTAGTTCCACCTTTTGAGTTTCAGCCAGAGTAGCTGTTTCATGAGCCTGCTCTTCATATGTTTTCACCAGAGCTTCAAGAGATTGTAGCTTATCCAATAACTCTTTACCTTCTGACTCTTTCTGGCTGAAATTTTGAATGGCTTCGTGCAGCTTTGCCTCTGTTTCCAAGATGCGGGCTTCAGTTGCCGATTGAAGTTCAGAGGCTCTAGAATGCTGCTCTGACAGTTCTGCGATAGTGTTCATATGAGAAACTAGTTGTTGAACACTGGCCTCCTTTTCTGCATGGGCTGAGTTTAACTGCTCTTCAAGATCACTCACCCTATTCTTAAGCAGCATATTTGTCTCCATTAACTGTTGATTTTCAGATAAAATATCTGCAGCTTTATTCTCTGCCTCCAAGATTTTCTTTTTGAGGTCTTCATTGTCAGTTTCAGAAGAAGCCAGCTTCACCAGCACCTGATCCAGCTCTTCCTTAACGGCTGAAAAACTTTCAGTAGATTTAGCAATCTGCTCCTCATAACTATTTAGCTGATCTTCAAGAGCCTTCAGTTTCTCATTCAATGTTTGTGCCTCTGAATCTCTGGTAACAAATTTGCCAGTTGCCTCTTGGATTTTCAGCTCAGAATCCTTTTTTAGAGTATCATGCAATGACTCTAGCTCTATGCTTCTAGCTGTTGCTTGCTCCAAAACTCTTCCTTGTTGCTCTAGCTGCTCTTCTGCTGACTTGAGCTTTTCCATCACCTCACTCTCTTTCAACCCAGCAGTGATAAGATCGTTCTCAATACCTTCCAGTCTCTGTTGAGTGGCATTCAATTCATTACGCAGGACCTCAAGCAGGTTTTCTGTTTCAGCTAGTTTTTCAACTGAATTCGTGTAGACATCCTCTAAGTTTTTCTTCTCCTCTGTCACATTGTTCAGGCATTGACTCAATTCCTTTTCTTTCTCCTTGGTCTCCTCCAGAGCAACCTCAAGGCTTGATGATTTCATTTGGAAAGCCTCTACTTCTGCTTCAAGTTCAGATGCCCTGTCAGCGTGCTTCTTAGATTCTGCTTCTGCCGCCACACATTTGTTCTCTAATGTGCTTATTTGTTCTTCAAGCTCCTGAATCCTATATTTTTCCGTTTCGAGCAATAACTCCAAGTCATTGACCTTTTTGCCTGCGTCCTCTACTTTCGAGTGGGATGCAAGCATCAAGTCCTCTAATTCACGGCTGCGTTGATCAGTGATATTGGCCCGACCCTCATGCTCAGTGCACTTCTCAGCGACAGTCTTAAGTTCCGCTTCAAGTTCTAAATTACGAGCAGTTGATTTGACCAACTCAGAATCCAAATGAGCTATCTTCTCCTCGTACTCCTGCAATTTAGTATCCAGCTGTTTCCTTTCTTCCAGGGTCTTCTCAAGAATGGCATTTAGTTCAGAAACTCTCCCAGAGAACTCCTCTAGTTCCCTCTTAGTATCATTGCTTTTCAGTTCCACCAGATTTATTTGTTGTTCTAGCTCCACATTCTTTTCTTCAGCTGCAATACAGCGTTTTTCCATTTCTCCAAGTTGCAATTTTGCTTCTTCTACCGCAGTGTTGGAGACTTGTAACATGTCCTCAAGCTCAACATGTTTCTGGTTGGCAGTAGTTATGGCATTTCCAGATTCATGGTGAAGCTCTTCCAATGATTTCAGCTTCTGTTCTAGCTCCGCACTGTTTGCTAAAGCTTGAGAAAGAAGAGAATCTGCTTTGCTGAAATTCTCATCTGAAAGCTGCAATTTCACCTCTAGATCACCACATAATTCCTTCATCTGGACCACAGTGTTGTTTAGCTCGGCTACAGCAGCTTCAAGTGCTACTTTCTCTGTAGATAGTTTGGCCAGCTCCTCCTGCGACACTGAGAGTTGTGTCTCCTGGCTTTTCAGTTTAGCATCGTATTGTTCCTTTAAATCTACTTCCTCCTGAAGCTTCAACTTTATGTCTTCCAACTCAGATGCTTTAGCTTGAAGATCTTCTTTAGTGGATGATAATAGAAGCTCAAGAGCCGAAAAATCCTCTTTTACCCGAGATTCAGAAGCTTTTCTAATGTCCAACTCTTGGCTTAATTCATCTATAAGAGCTTCTTTTGATGCAAGTTTATTCTCAATATCTTGTGCTTGTGATTTTGAGATCTCTAGCTCTCCTTGAACTTTAGAAAGCTCTGAAGTTGTACACGTGAGCGCTTCTTCAACCTTCTGATTTTCAGCAATCTTTTCATTTAGGCCCTTGAGTTCTTCTTGTAAAGAAGCCATCTGGTCTTCATATTCTTTTGCACTCTGCTTCGACAACTCCAGCAATCTCTCAAACTCCAGGGCCCTCGTCGTCTCTGATTCTGCAAGTGAGCCACTTTGTTTGTGCAACTCCTCAAACTTTTTAGCCTCACCTGCAGAAGTCAGCAGCTCTTGTTCGAGCTCTTCCATCTTTTTCTTTGAGCTTTCAAACTCGAGGCTAAGCCTGTCGAATGCCTCCTTAACATTAACATGCTCCTTACTATTCAATTCTTGAGCTTGCAATGCCTCTTGTAAAGCTTTAAGCTCAGTGTTATATCTACTTTCTGCTTCTACAATCTGCTCTTGCAATTTCTTGTGATCAAGTTCAAGCCCTTCAAATTTCTTATCAGTTTCCTGCATCTTCTCTTTTGTGAGCGACAGTTCATCCTTTAACTTCACATTTTC